GACTTCAAGAATTTGTGATGGGAAAAAGTTTCAACCAGGCTACACTTTAAAAGGAAAATGGTTTGGTAGAGATGCAGCCCTATCAACATAAGTAAAGCCTCACCTCATAGCTCATCAGAAAGTGTAATTCAAGTGTTGAAAAGCTTCTTGATCGATCATCTCAACTTGAACATTACGATCATGAAAAAAAATTAGGATTTGAAGCCCTAAAAATAGTGTATATTGCAACAAATCATCTAGACCATCCATTTCCCCCTAAAAATAAGTGATAACAGATCCACAAGATCTATACTATTTTTTGAGCTTCAAATTTATTTGTCGGCGTTGGAAATTGATTTTAGAACCATCATAAAAATTTCCAATGCCTAAATTGCTTTCCGAATGAAGATTTGAATTGAGGCTTTATTTTGTTTGCATAAAGTGTAGGCCCTATAGAAACATCATCCCACACTTTAAAAACACACTAGAAAATGCAGCTCGTACGCTAGAAATTTTATCATCTCCCTTTTCATATTATGGATTTGAAAAAGGAAAACGTTTATATAAGGTTGCAACCTTAAAATGTAGAATTAAAGTGCACCTCAAAAATCCATTATAAAAGGTTGTTTTGATGTTGGAAAACCCTCTAATTGACCATCTCAACATCGAGATGTACAAATATGAAAAGAAAAAAGGATTTCAAATCCTAAAAATAGTGTCTTGCAATACATTATTTGGAACATCAATTTTCAAGATTTTAATGTGTATATAGATCTACCTGATTTGAACCATTTTTGAAATTTAAAATTTTATAATTGGATATCATCATAGATTCTCAAGCCATCCTAAAAATGTTTGACACCAAAATTATATTTACGATAAAATTTGAATCCATGCCTTAATTTGATTGTTTAAGGTTTCAACCTTATGCAAACACAAACCACACCTTTGAAAAAATGTGTTTCAGGTCTTAAAAGCTAAAAAGTTTGGAACATATTATGCGAATTGTTTATTTTTATATGGTTTTAGATACATTAGATCAGCATTATTTTTAAAGTTTCAAATTTCATAATCAGAAGTAAAAATAAATATTTATACCATTATAAAGGTTTCAATGTTGGAATTGCATTTTCTAGCGGTGTTTACTTTACTTTGCAGCATAGGCCTTATGCTAACTGCACTCTTTATAATTATTTTTGTCCAAAACCAAGGATGATGTAATGCATGTTCTACATTTTTTTTTTTGCCCACTTTAATCGCCACTGTAGATGTTTCTCTTCCAATAGAGCAATGGACCAAATATGAGAATAACATGACGTAACCCAATTTTACTGACTTTTACTAGTGCTTCTAATTTAGGGTATCTTTCTACATGCCATTTTGTATAGGAAACTCATATGTGTCACTCCTCGCCTTGCTGTTCAATCTGAATAGACGGTTGAGATTGTGTCAGCCATAATGTCACACAAGCCTCTGCCCATTTGACTGTTTGATTTTTGACCTAATGGCTCAGTGCTTTCAAGCCGATCCCAAAATAGTTGGGATAAAGCTTGGAAGATGATGATGGATCATAGTGCTTTCAAGAGTAATTTGATTATTTTATTTAATTATTTTTTTATGTGCACCAGTATGCGAGGATAACATGCTCTGAATTTTGGTGGTAATATGATTTGTAAATAAAATTTAAAATAAAATAATATTTAGTCATGACATTGTTTATAAATTCATCATAATCATCCATTCAATTTGGACAACAGGAAGAGAGGTGATATATACGATTTCCTCATACCTAGTAGCATATAAAAATAGTCCCCTTTAAAATATGATGAATAGTATTCCCCTTTAAAATATGATGAATCAATTTTATGTTGCGTACTTTAAATGCGTCGTCTTGTAGTAAGAGGAGTCTGTAATGTTTTAAGATCCCATTTTTTCACTTTGCTTTCCCCTATCTTTAGTCACAAAGAGGACCTTTCCCCTGTTTAAATATAAGAACTCTAGTGTCCTTTCTAGAATACACATTATTCTATTAAAAGGGCTTTGAATATAATATATAAAATATATGAGGCTATTTTTAAATTATAAAAGGAAAAAAAGTTTACATAAGGTTGCAATATTAAAATGTAGAATTAAAGATGCACCTCAAAAATCCATCGGAAAAGGTTGTTTTAATATTGAAAAGCAATCTAATTGATCATCTCGACATCGAGATGTATGAATATGAAAAAGAAAAAGATTTTCAGCCCAAAAAAAGAATGTATCTTACAACACATTATCTAGACCATCCATTTTCAAGATTTCCATATGTTTATAGATCTACTTGATTTTAACCTTTTTTTGGAGTTTTAAAATTTATAATTAGATATGAAAATATATTTTCAGAAAATCCTAAGAATTTTTTACCCTAAAATTACATGTTATGATAGAATTTGGTGGTGCACCTTAATTGGATTGTTTAAGGTTGTAACCTTATATATTTGTCAAAAAAAAAAAAAAAATTGTTGCAACCTTATAGAAACCACACCCATTATGAAAACACAATATTATATATATATATATATATATATATATATATATATATATGTATTATTTATTTATTTATATCAATTGTAACTTTTCTAGAACCTTTGAATCTTTGCTTGACCAATGCTTGCATTGTTGAGGTACATGCACGTTACCTTCCTTGTGTGGTTCAAATTCAAGGAAATGGCGTTTCACCCTGGAATCAATTTCCATTATTTTTCTTTTCAAACCTTGAAAATTAAAACACGTTTACATCATTGTCATAAAAAGCGTGTTCCATTATTTAGTTGGGAACATAACTTTCAGCTTTTCATCAACCACGGTTGGTGACCCACCATACCTTGAACTCATTCCATGATGTTTCTCTTCAAATATGGAGAATAATGTGCCGAGGTCTAGAATATATGATATAATCAATATTATTTATTAACTAGTTGTGCGTTTAGATTTTAGGGGAAATACATGGGAAAAGCCACTTTTCAAAATCAATTTTAGGGTTGTCGATTTATACAATTTAACCTTAGATTGATTATTTTTTATTAGGGTTATTTTATAGGTTACATGTGCAACGCATCCAACAAATTGTTTTTAAATACATCCAAGTTGTCGTTTGTACAAGGATTCCATACTCCTGAGCGATCGTTTACTCCATGCACTCCTTAGCATAAAGTTCGGAACAAATGGCCAACCGCGTTAAGATTTAAGAACCTCTTAGATATGAAAAATGTGAATCTCAAAAGTCGGATCCCACTAAGATCATTTACCTATCCAGCTAAAAATAAAATAAGAGTGAGGACGAGCCATAATACGACAAATAAAATATGAAATACAAATGCCATAAGAACACAAAGATTTAAGTGGTTCAACCAAGAGAGTTGTATCCATGGGCACGACAAACTGAAATCCTCCATACTAATGAAAGTTATTGGGTTACCCCTTTAACCATCGACAAAACCCAATTGATCAAATCCTTTTAGACCTGCTCTCCCGATCGGCACGACTCGTCAGTCTCTCATATCTATTCTACAGCTAAATTACTGTCCAATAATAGACCCATATCTATTTCACAGCTAAACCTTGTTTAGAAAGAGACTTTTAAAAGCAACCGAGACTTTCTAAACGACCCAAAATCTTCATGCGAACCGTTTCGCTTCTCTACAAGAAACCAGTCTTTTAATCTACAAAAAGCATATCATGGTGTTTCTCTAACTCTATAGGAGACACTCTCAATCTTCAGGAGAACCACCCAAAATCTATACGGAAATCGTTTCGCTTATCTACAAGAAACCAGTCTCTTAATCTGCAGGATGCAATCTACAGGAGGCATATGATGGTGTTGCTCTACATGAGGCACTCTCAATCTATAAGGGGTACATGGTGGTATTTTTCTTATTCTACAGGAGGCACATTCAGGTATTTCTCTTAATCTACAAAAGCACATTGTGGTGTTTCTCTCCATAAGAAGATATATTCTCTCTAATGGGAGGCCTTGCCTCTTATGGTGTTTCCCTCCATAGGTACATCTCTTCTCTCTAATAGGAGGCCTTGCCTCTCATACACAAGAGGCCTGCTTCTTTTTTTAGAGGAAACCACCTTTCCTATATGGTTATCCAAATATAACACATGTATTTTTTCATCTTTCATCCCATATATGTAAACTTAGAAGTCCATACTAAATAAAAAACTTCACGTAGATGTTACATATAGCTCAAAAAATAAGAGATATAATCTTAAGCTTTTTGGATTTTTATTTCATTTAGGAAACTTATCAATGTTAATCTCAATCCTATATAATATAGGATTTTTTTTATGTGAGTGATTTTGGATATCACCATATCCAACAAATCGGACCGGAATTAGCCAGTTTATATTAGGAAATGGTAGGACTAGTGTTGTTCCACAAAAATATCAAGAAATGGGAACTGACCGGTTTTATTAGAAAACTATTCTCGTTTTTTTTTAATAGTTTCATTTTTTTGTTATGTAATATTATTTAATTTCTTATTGGCCCGTTCACTTGGGTACACCACCGATCCAGATCGATTTTCTTGGTCCCTTACCGATGATTTTAAACCTTGGATGAAACTCATTCTAAGAGTACTTTGCGGATCCCAAATTTATGGGATAGAACCACTTCAACTGGCTACTGACCTCTCCTTGATTATGAGTCTCAAAATAAATAAATAAATAAGTTCACTCTTATGAAAAGTTAATTGACATGAAACCATTCCATTTTCCATAGTCATCCCTTTCCCATGGTCAAATTTAAGTTTTAAGATGTACGAATCTTATTTTTAAATAATAATCTGGTAATAGTAAGTAGATCCCCAAAAATAATTATCCCAAGTAAAAACACTTACACTGAGGATGTAAACTCACAGTGTGCTCTTACGGTAGCACGCTATTTCTTTCTCCCCTTACGAGGTCAACGTGGCTGCACCTGGTCAAAGCGGGCAGCCGCCTGTGGCCAGCCTAAATAGACAAAAGCTCCAAAAGAACCCAAATTCTCCTTATATCATCCTCAATCTTCAATTCCTTCTGTGGCTCAAAAATCAGGCTGATTCCGATCACAAAAATGAATCTCGGTCACCAGGTGGCCGCTTTTATGGTAGTTTTGGCCGGAATTTTCACGATTTCCGGCCACGCCCACCCGTCCCTCAACTTCAACCTCTCAGGCTCCGCCTGGTCCAGCTTCTACAACCTCTCCGGTTGTCACAAAGGGGAGCACGTCCCCGGCCTCACCGCCATCAAACAGTACCTCCACACCTTCGGCTACATCCCCCAGAATCTGAATTTCACCGACGATTTCGATGACTCTCTCGAATCGGCGATCAAAACCTACCAGCAAAACTTCAGGCTCAATGCCACCGGCTCGCTTGATTCCGGCACTGTCCGGCAGATGATGTCCCCGCGCTGTGGCGTCCCGGATGTTGTCAATGGCACGACGACGATGATGCGCTCCCGTGGCCTCTCCTCGGTGATGCGGTACACTTTCTTTCCTGGAAATCCTCGGTGGCCGGTCTGGAAACGAAATTTGACGTATGCGATCAGGCCAGGGACGTTCTCGACCAGTGATGATACGGCGGCGCGCGCTGTGTTTGCGCGAGCCTTCGCTCGATGGGCTGCTGCAACCACACTGTCATTCACTGAGTCTACCTCTTACTCGACAGCTGATATACGGATTGCTTTTTTTGGTGGTGATCATGGGGACGGGGAGCCGTTCGATGGGGCGCTGGGGACACTGGCTCATGCATTCTCGCCGCCGGATGGCCGGCTCCACCTCGACGCAGCGGAGTTGTGGGTTGTGAGCGGCAATTCGAGATTGGGGATCGATTTGGAGTCCGTGGCAGTGCATGAAATTGGCCATGTCTTGGGGCTGGGGCACTCTTCCGACGAGGCGGCGATCATGTTCCCGACGATCACGACAGGGACAAGGAGGGTGGAGCTGGCCACCGACGATATCATGGGGATTCAGGAGCTGTATGGAGCGAATTCAAACGCCGGAAGCACCGCTTCGTCTCCGGTGACGCAGGAGAACGAGCAGAATGGTGCGGGGAACAAGCAGAATGGTGCGGGTGGCTCGAGCCTGGGCTCAGTGTGGGCTCGGGCAGGTGGGCTTGTTCTTGGCGCGTTATTATTGATCTCGTAAATAAGTCTTCGTTTTGGTGTACACACATTTGATTATTTTTCATTTATTTAAAATTTTTTCTCTCGTTCATTTGAAATAGTAGTAGTTAGAGAAATTTTGGACCTCGTTAGATACATTTATCTTTTTATTATTTATTTTTAAAAAATGTCTGAATAATCTTGCAACACTGGTGCTTGATATGATGTTTCTAGTTACTCTTGATTTCGAATGGTAACAAACAATTAAGTTTTTATAAGGCCTCGGTTTTCTAAAATAAAGCCTCGCCTCAAATCTCGATTGCAAAGCAAAATATCTATGCTGGCTCTAAAGTTAATTTTCAAAATTAAAAATAAAATTTGAAACTAAAAAAGTAATACAAATATTATATATCTATAAACATTTATTTTTAAGGAGAAAAAGATAACCTAAATAATTTATTGCAATATACACCATGTTTAGAACTTTAAATCTTAATTTTTTCACAAACATTTCAATGCGTTATAAGGTGGGACTCTAGTTATTTTGATAGGGCTGCAGCCCTATCAAACCATTATCCAATAAACAATGCTGATCGATTAAGTTTCTTCTTAAGGGTGCTGTCTAGGCTTTACTTTAGCGGTTCGGACGCCTGAAATCAATGCAAGATCTCTTTTCACTTCTAATTATGTATTAAGTTCCACAAGTGCGGCGATACAACAGATCGCAAAATAGTCATTAATAAATGGTTTATAAATATAATAATCATAGGTCTGATATAAATATTTTCCTTGTTTTCAATAATTTCCTTCCTCCCAGTTTGGATTTAAAGGAAAGGTTTTATGTGAGTAATGCATAACTACGAATATCTATCTTTAGGATCGACGTTAAACTAAGTGCTCCAGACCAAAATATAGGATAAATAGTCTAAAAAATCAAAAAACAAAATATAATTTGAATTTTAAAGTTTTCTTTTTATTTCTGGAATTTATGATCACCTCGACCTATCTTTAAGATGAATTTTGGAGGGAGACGCATGTGTATAGATGAGTCAGCTGACTGGTAGAAACCCCACCCATATTTTAAAAGGAAAAGTTTATATAGAGCCTAGGCTCTAAACAATCAAATTAGAGCCTACCTCAAATATTCCACTAGAAGAGGTTGTTGTGATGCCCAAATATTCTCAAATTGATCATCTCAACATCAAAATACATGGACTTGAGAAAAAAATGTATTTCAAGTTTTGGAAATAGTGCATCTTGTAAGGTGTTTTTGGACTGTCAATTTTTAAGTTATTCAAGTTTTCATAGATCTGCTCGATATACACTATTTTGGAAGTTTTAAATTTTATAATTAAAGATGAAAATATATTTTAAGGCTAATAAAAAATTTCCAGTATAGAAACCACATTTTTCGACTTTATTTGAAGGTGGGGCTCTAATTTGATTGTTTAGAGCCTCAGCTTTATACAAACCGCACCCTATTTTAAAACATTAGAGTACCATCCTTATATAATTATTAATTAGGGAAAATTGAAGAAGTCCAGGTCCTTCAACATAGTTTAAGGTTTTGGCCCACCAACAGCAGGTGTTCCATATGTTGTCCTCCTGTGCCCTTTACTTTTCTTCCTTTTGCTTTAGTGCCGGTTGGACATATATCATTTTTTTTTTTTTTGGGAAGTTTAAGAAAAAGAAACTTAATAAATGAATTATTTATTTTTTATTTTTTATCTATTTGCAAACATCTCATCTAAAGGACGGTCATTAATGAGTTGGAATACCTAAAATTAGGGCAAATTTTGATAGATAAGAAAAAGGAAAAGTTCATATAAAGTTGCAACCTTATACTATAGAAGTAAGGTGTACTTCAAATATCAAGTAGAAAAGATTATTTCAAAGTTGAAAAACCTTTCAATTAGTAATCTCGACTTTGAGATATATAGATATTAAAAAAAAAAAAAAGAATTTTAAATTTAATAATTGAGTATGAATTTTCAAGCCATTATAAGGTTCTTGACACCGCAACTACATCTTCCAGCAAAATTTAGAAGAGCGCCTTTCTTGAATAGTATAAGGTCATAACCTTATACTAACCTCTCACCCAGTAATTCATGTCTTATTTATGCTTGTTAGCAATATTAGCACACTCAATTTTAACTATATGCAGCGGGTGGATTAAAATCAAAACTAGATCTTTTTCTTGTGCTTTTTGATGCATCACATGATAGCCTATTATAGCAGTGGAAATGGGGAATGAATAAACATTATTTATTTAGGAAAAAGTTATATAAGATATCAACCTTATTCAATTGAAGTAAGGCGCACTAGAAAACCCATTAGAAAAGATTGTTTTGATACTAGAAAACACTCAAATTGATCATCTTAGTCTCGAGGTGTATGAATGTGCAAAAGAAAAAAAAAAATTCAATTCATGAAAATAATGCCTCTTGTAACGCATTATTTGGAATTATATAGGCATCACAGAATAAGATTTCACATCAGAAATTATATAGGCATCACAAAATAAGATTTCACATCAAAGTTCATACATTGATGTATAAAGAGAGTAACATTCAGTTTGCAGAATACTACTTGTTCTTGATATAGCAATCACAATTACAGTTAAATGTTCATGCAGAATGCTTAAATAAAACAGGCAAACATATCTATTTAGTCATGAAGTGGAAGCCACATCGGCCAGGCTAAGCCAATCCTGAACTTGGACTTCTACCCTCACTCAAGAGGGAGGATAATGACAAGTGGGTAAATCTACTTCGTAATATCCTTACTCATGTACACAATCCCCAATGTGCTTTGAGGCTTTTGATAGGCTAAGGCCTTGCAAGACACAACCCTCTCTTGTGCCTTCAGGCGAGAGGGCATTATATTACCATTGGATGACCCAATGCATAATGCCCATCACAATTTGAGGGGCGCGACCCACCCTATTGCTTACAATCATCTCTCGACTCCACCCCTATCATATGGGTCGAGGTACAGTATATCCCACTACCAATGAAGGACCCATTGCGTAGCGGTTAGATATCAGTATTCATAAGGCTGAATCATAAAGTCCACTACCAATGGAGGACCCATTGCGTAGAGTTCATGGCACATATCACAATATTCATATAGCAAAATCAGACAACATCAGTGTCACATAATGGCCGTATTAATATCACATAATAACAGTATTAGTATCACAGAGTGATAGTGTCAGTATCACAGGATGACAATGTCAGTCTCACAAAATGCCAGTAATAACATCACATCTTTAACAATATCAGATTCACTGAATAACAGTGTCCATATCACAGAATAACAGTATCAGATTCACAGAATAACAATGTCCATATCACAGAATAACAGTATCAGATTCACAGAATAACAATGTCTATATCACAGAATAACAGTATCAGATTCACAGAATAACAATGTCCATATCACAGAATAACAGTATTCGAGTCACAAAATAACAATGTTCATATCACAGAATAAGTGTTACCACTGCAATTTCAAGCCGTGACCTCTGGTCGTAAATAAGATTATAACTTTTGATTCGTATGGAATTTGAAGACAGTTCCAAAACCAATTTTACATTAGACACACCCATATTTCAAATGGGGGTAGTTTGAAAGTAATTGAACCTTGTTTGGCCTCTCAAAAGTTCAAAAGAATGGAGACATTTCATATGAAATCTGCTATGTAGTGAAGACAGTGACATGTCTTTAAAATTAGTTCACTATCTCCCAAACCAGAAGGAATTTCAAAACATGGTTAACAAGTGATTCTAAACACACGCAGATATCTTTTAAGAAGCGCTGTTTTGAAAGAAAGCGGATCATTTTTGGTCAGTCAAAACCCGTAGCAACAAAGGTATCAGTTCTGAGCTTTTGCAGAACAGCCTACAGTGAGATACTGTCACAAGTAATCGTATAACTCTCAAATTAGGCAGAATTCTGAAAAGTACTAAACATGTGAATATAAGTTTACTCATAAATCTTTCAAATAGTCGTGGTTTGGAAGAAAATGGACCTTATTAGGTTAGTTAAAGCTTGTGACATCAGAGACATCAGTTTTGTGTTTTTACCAAAACTATCCACAGTGACCTACTGGCAATTTTCGAAGCATAGCTTTACATACATAATGAATCAGAACAAGACGTACACATGAATATCGAAATAGACTCAGAAATATTTCCAATGGCAATGGTTTGAGGGCGAATGGACTTTGTTAAATAGGTCAAAAGTGGATGGCAAGAATATAAAATCTTCCTGAAATTTTACAGCTTAGTCACAATACTATACCCCAAATGGTCCATAACCCTTCCACTTCCAAAAGAATACTTAAGAACACAAAGTTACAGACTTTCTATGAAATACAAGACATATTTGAATGCTTATTGTGGTCATGTAATTACAATTCACTTGGCTGGAAAATTCACAACATAACAGTGAACATAACTTCATTCATACTACTAATAGCATGCACACACACATTCTTAAATCATAGTCAACCTTACGCAAAGGCCTACAACGTAGAAATTCACTTACCTAGGGTGTAATGTGCCTCCAAAACCTTCTCCTACAACCTTCTTCAACTCCTAAAGTGGCTGTTCTAATAGTGAGCTAAAAGGGGAGCTCCTTCTTAGTTCTTCACTTGCCTTAGAGAGAGAGAGAGAGAGAGAGAGAGAGAGAGAGAGAGAGAGAGAGAGTATAGTAGTAGGT